GTATCTGTCCTGTGGCTTGTCTTTGATTAACAGACTTCCTTGTCTTAACTTAAAAAATCCCAGGCCTTTAGACAAAGCTTCATTGCTTTAACCAATTACAAATCCAAGAGTCTTTAAACCCACCTATAATCTTTAACCACCCCCCTTTGAGATGTCCCACCTTTTCAGGCCAGACCAATGTACACCTTCCATATATTGATTTACGACTTTACCTGTAAATCCTGTCTCCCTGAAATGTATAAAACCAAACTGTAACCCAACCACAGTGAGTCTACTTGCTCAAGGCTTCTTGGGTGTGGCCCCAGGCCATAGTCCTCAAATTTGGCTCAGAATAAACCTCTTTAAGTTATTTTGAAGAGTTTGGCTTTTTTTCCACTGACAAACAAAAACCAAACTGAAATTCTTGCAGAAAATACTTCAGGATAATGTGTTGTTAACATCCCTAATTATCTGTTTATAGTTAAAGAAATATAATAAAGCATAGGTTCATTACAATATCAATAGCTATAAATTAAAAGGGACTTTTCTTTTATTAGGGTGTTTACTATGCCTTTGGCTGATACAACAAAAACAAATATAGATGAACATTTCCCCAGTGTGGCATTAGAAAACAACAGGAAGTCTGCAGAATGCAAGAGAAGCCCAGGCACAGGTGATTTTTCAAGGAACAGTAATGCTTCTGATAAGAGTGTTGATTATAGCCGATCTCAGTGCTCCTGCAGAAGTTTAAATTCTCACTATGATTATTCAGAAGACTTTCTCTCGGATTATTCAGAAACTGCCATTAATAGAAATTATTTAGAGCAGCCCATGGTAAAAGAAAAGAAGGAGGAGAAGAAAAAGCATACTGTTTCTAAAATCTCCCAACCTGAAGGTAAGAAGCAAAATTTCCCAACCAAGACTGAATTTCTGGTTATAATGACATAATATTTTAATACTCTAGTATTTGAAGTGGTACATATTCATCTTATTATTTTTCCACATTGTATGTGCTATAGGTGAACTTTTATAGAAGGAATTAGGAGATAGAGAAATTAAGGTAATTACAAAATAACAGAAAGGCTTAAAATGTAGAGCCCAGTCCTAGCACAGCTTACCCTGCGGGAGCCTACTAGTGAGGTGAGTTCCGTTTTCAGTTAACAGGTGGCCTTGTTACAGAGTACCACAGTACTTGGATTTCACTGGCTTCTTGCCTTTCATCTCAGCTGAAGAATCAAAGTCTGAATCGCCAGTGAAATGTAAATACCTGTCTCAACAGCCCAAGAGGATGGTCTCCAAGTCTGGTGAGACATATTGGCAAAAACAATCTTTTGAAACAGAGAGGGTTCATAAGGCTGTTAATAATGTCATTTCCTTGTGGATTTTAAAAGTACAAATGCCATCAACTCCTGTCTAAATTGGAATTAGCTTGTGATATCCTTGATTTTCTTTCTCCCTGCCCCCCTGCCCAAACTGTAATTACTTCGTCTCATTTTAGGCAATCTTGAGCTTATAGTATTTCTTAGATCGAAATAGCTGGAACTCTTTTCTACTTGACCATCAGAGCACCCTCAAGTCAAAAGGTGGAAAATAATTCAGAGCCTACTGTTCATGGGGACCACCTATCACTGTCATGTTTACCTGGCATCTTTCACCCCCAGCCTGCTATTACCAGGGGTGTCCAGGACCCTCTGTGCCACTTCTGGAACATCTAGAGTCTTCATTTCCCCTTTCTCCTAGCTGTAAGGCAGCGATTCTTCATCTAAGACACGTGTCTGTGAACTCCATGAAATTTTTTGTGTCTGTGTGTGTTCATAAACATTTCTAGGGAGAAGGGCCTATAGCTTTCAGCAGATTCTCAAAAGATGAAAAGTCCCTTTTCTAAAGACGTGGGCATCCTACACCCGCTGGCAGGGCCCAGGACAGAAGATGAAAAGACCAGTTCCTTCTCTCATGATGGGACTGTTGGTGGCATTTGGAAGAGATTATCACAACAGCACATTGTGATTAGATCCTACACATACACAATCCCTAATTCACATCTGAACTTTACAAATCTCTGAAAACTCAACATTTTTCATATCTTTGGTACCAAAACTGATTTGGCAACAAAAACTGATACGAACTGACATGAGACTGATATTTATTTATTTTACCCAGTATAAAGTCACATATTTCACTACAGAAATATTGTTTGATTAAAGGATGCTGTCCCAGACCCTACTGGGAGAACTATGTAAAATACCATATATGCACCCACCTAAAAAATAAAACCCCCAAAATTCTGAAATAGTCTGGCTCTAAGAGTTTATATAAGGGACACTACATTTTATGTTGATTCTAAGTTTTATGGGACTGTGTGAGAAGGCAGTTAGCATTTATAAAATTATTTCCACAAAAACAAATTGCATTTTGAGTTCTAAGTGCCTCATAATTTAGCTTTTAAAGATCCCTCATTTATTTATTCTACAAATCTTTACTGAGCCCTATATGCAGAATACCAGTTCATTATCTGAAAGAGTGAAAGGTTTGCTCTTACTCAGGTGTTCTTTTGTGTATTAATACTCTGAAATTATTTTAAATTAATCTTGCATGCATCTTTAACTCAAATTCTATATGTCCTTGAGGACCCTTGCCCCAGTGTATGTTGAACTTAAAACACTAATTGCAACTTCAAGCTCTGTTACAGAACCATAAAGTGTTTCCTTGGTTTTTTTCTTTTATTCTTTTGTTCCCATACAGTTCATGTTTTGCAAGTGTTTGCCAAAGTAATGTAAGTTGTTCCACCCTAGGGTAATATAATTCTAACCCAAAGCAAAGAAGCTTAATATTTTAGCCAGTGCAAACCCCTTTTCAAGTGAATGTTCAGTTTCTGTTCAGCTTTCTGATACGTTAAAAGTAGATCTCTGACCCTCAGGGCTAGTAACACTGGATTAGGAACCATCAATATAGACTCAATTCACTAAAGAATAGTACATCAGAGATTATTGGCAATTGCCATCTTAGAAAATCGATGAAAGCAAATTTTAGGGCAGAAAAACATTTCATAGAGAAAAATTATGAGAATGAAATGAGAACTTCAGTTTGATAGGATTTTTGCTTTGGTTAAACATTGGAGATTTACTTAAATCATTGTAAATAGCAAGCAAAAATTTCTACAATTTGCTTTTCAAAAATTGATTATTTCCTTCTTTTGTAGAAAATGTACTCTCAGAACTCCTTCAATTATATGTCCTATTAGTTAGAAAATTGTTTCCCTTCTGGCCATTTAATTTTGGACAAGAAAAAAAAAGAAAAGAAAATTGTTTCCTTGATATATTTTCTTTGTCAATATGTTAGGTAGATAGTGAGGGATTCTGAGTCTCCTAGGGACAAAAGTGGGTGCTGGTGCAGTTCACCCTCCCCCACAAATGGGCCTTCAGAGAGGCTCATGGGAGATCCGCATGCACAGTAAGACTCAGGCCACATAACTCCCAACTGTTCATTAAAGTAGTTCCATGGTGATGTCTGAGTCATGAGAGCAGTCTCAATCCGGACACTATAAAAGACCAAGACCATAACCAAGGCCTCTTTTTTTTGGCCTCTTTTGCTACAACAGTGGATCCAGTTGTCATCTGTGACATATATATCTTGCTCTGTAAACCTATAGCTTTCTCTTGCTTTATAATCCTATCTTTCTCTCCTCAATGAACCTCATTTTCATGCTTGCCATACTTTGGTGCATCTGGTCATTCTTCAGCCATGAGCAAGCCAAGAACCAACAGTTCAGACCCCGAAAGCCAACATATTTGGTGCCATGACTCAGATGCCAAAACGTGTGCTAGTCATTCACAACGTTGGTATATGAAAAAAGAAGTTATTTTACTGCATTCAAATGCTTGGGACACCTTTCACCCTGTTTTCCTTGGTCAGGTAGAGGTGGGAGACCTAAGGCAGTGTTGAAGAGACACCTGCTCTAACAGATTAACAGCAGGAACTAGGGAGAACAGAAAGGTTCCTTTGAACCTCTTCTTTACCCTGGTCCTTGGAGGAAGTGGATCCATCTGTTTTAAGGTGAAATACAGGGTAAACCCAGGAGAGAGAGAGAAGAACTTGGCAGAGGGCAGAGCCAGTGCAAAAAAATGGGGAACATGGCTCAGGAGAACCAGTGCTGGAGTGAGGCGTGGAGGAGGAGCACGAGAACGAATGGGACAGTGAGACCAAAGGGGACAGTGACCAGGAGAGGGAACTAGGATGAGGCCAGGGAAGAGAGGAGGTGCAAACAGCATGAGTGACGAGTCTAGTAGGAGAACAAGAGAGCTTTTGAAATAAGGAGTTGGGGAGGGGTGAACGTGGGGGAAGAGGACCTAGCAAGGAAGGCAGGCTGGAGCACCGGAGTTTGCAGGGCAGCTGGAGCGCACAGTGACATTTTAGGACTGTTCAAAAGAGCATGTGTCATTATAAGCAATATGAAGCATGCTCTTTTGGCTAACTGTGGGCTTAAATGTATATGTTTTTGGTGAATTGAGTTAATTTGAGTGAGTGTTTTAGCTCAGTGGTTTGAAAATCAGGTATCCTAAGAGTGGTTTAATCATTTAGCTAAATCTGCCTTATTGTATGAAATGGGATAGAAACCATAAATTATACTACTCCTATTATGTGTAGGTTAGGATAATGGGATATAAAGTCATTAAGGATTAAACCCTATTTCAGTTTTCTATAACCTTTATAGTTATACAAGTATGCATGACATATATAGTATGAATTTGTTGTGTACCACTCAAATGCAAGTGGTATACTTACCTTTCTGAAGCATACAAACCTGGCTTATTCTCTCCCACCCACCCGCTAGGGTAGACACGAAATTCAGTCTCAGACACGTTTGGGGAATGGTGGGAGTATGGGTGTATAGGGGAACATTACATACACAGACAAGAGTGTTTGGGAAAGGCCTCTGGTCCTTCATTTTCATCTCTCATATGCTTCTTGGCCAAGCCCATGTGATCTGTAAAAGGCCAGACCCACGCTGTTCAAAGCATCCATGCCCTCTGTTTACTGCTTGACTTCTGGGGCCTCGGCCAGAGCTCCCATGGTCATGGTGGTTGGTCCCTGGACACCCTCCCGCATCACTTGAGTATGGCAGGGAAGGGGCACATAAGCCTGCACTGCCCGTGGAACCCATCACCCATCCTTCTAGTCTCAGTGAAATCCCTCTCTCCTCCAGGGCCAGACCACCCAAGGGCTGGAAGACATTACAAGTTGGGAGTCAAGTTCAGTCGTGCTTGCCATGGTGTAGAACATGTCAGCCCCTGACTACCCCTGTTTTAAACCAGTCTGGTCCACACTGCCTGGGTCTAGGGCTTCCCTAGCTAGTGCCCAAGGTTTTAAAGTGTCTGGCCTCAACACAACCACAGACACCTCTTCGCTAGCCTTCTAGTAGGTGTCCCAGAGGCTGGCCTGCTCTGCTTTCCATTTTTAATGTGCTTAAAAGCCTATTCTAAAATACTCAAATGTTTAGCCGTAGCCGCTACTAAATTATTGTTCCCAGTGGGAAAATAAATACCCTTGAAGGCATAGTTGCAAAGATAGTCCACCAGTTACTGATGTGATGATGATATTGTGATTGTTGTAAAATATATGTGGTCTGTCATTCGAATGCTTTACCCCCAGAAAGCATGCTTCGTTTCTATTGGTTCCTTGTTTCTATCTTAAGTAGAATTGCCTTTCCCACCACCTAAACCAAATGTATTAAACCCTGTCTCAGATTATGTGCCCATACTTGGGCCAATAGCTTAAGGTTAGGGCTCCAGTGACATTGGCCACTAAGTGCCCTTCTGTCTCCAGAATATGGACCAGGCTTTTTAGATTTTAGAATCTAGTTTCAATCTCTGTTTCTTAGAATACAGATATACTAACATGTACACATGCACACATACACATATATTTGTATATACAGATGACAGATGCACACATACATACAGGTAGATCATACCAATGCACACACCCATGGGGCACTAGCACAGGCACATAGACTTTGGCTTCTGTCTGGCCACTTACTAGCTGTGTGCCCATTGACAAGTGACATCCCCAAGCATCAGTTTCTTTATCTTTAAAATAGGATAACAGTACAATGGTGTTACACATACATTTAACATACTCAAATTCAATTATATAAGCTTGGTGCTAAATGTAATATTTTTTAGATACTTTTTGTTTAAAATAGACCCCTGAACACATACCAATTACTTCATTCAGTGTCCAGCCAAAGTAACAGAGGGAAAAAAATGGCTGTGCTGGATCTACTGAGAGATGGTGTATACGTACATATTCTCTCTCCCTCTCTCTCTCTCCCTCTATCTCAATAGTTTAATGGCTTTTTAAGGATTATTGCAAATAGATCTTCACATTGGGTTCTCATGTTGTACTCTACCTCATATTGTTGAAGGATTATATCAGATAATCTATATAAAGCATTTAGTTCAATGCCTGACATATGACAAGCACTTGGTAAATGTTAGCTATTATCATGGCTTTTAATATAGCTTTTATAATAGGATTGTAAGTACAGGTTTTAGAGTCAAAGATGACCTGTTTTTCAATCCATTCTATGTCACTTCTTGGCTATGTTACCTTGGACAAATGACTTAAAATCTCCAGCTATAAAACAGACTACAACTGACCTTAAAGAATTGTATTGAATGAGATATCTATAAAGTACCTAGCCTAAGACATGAGTATTCATTAAATGTTAGCTCTTTCCCCTTACAGTTTCACCTGTGTGTGTATTTATATGTGTGCATTGTTGGGGGAGATTATGTGTATGTGCATATTTGCATGTCTATATCTGTATATACATTACTAGTAGTAAACTGGATTGTCTACTTACACAGGCCAGAAGGAAATCCCAGTTGGAAAAAAGCACACCTCGAACGCCTCAGTTTTTAATTCTCAAATCAATATGATTACCCAAAGAAGAGATGCTACGGCTCATCGAATACTCTCAGCAAGGCTTCATAAGATTAAAGAACTAAGGAATGAATTAGCCGATATACATCGTAAATCAGAAGCCATCATCATAGAAAACCAATTTTTGAAACAACTTCAGCTTAGGCACTTGAAAGCTATAGGAAAATACGAGAATTCAAAAAATAATCTACCTCAAATTATGGTTAACCATCAGAATGAAGTAAAAAATTTAAGGCAACTACTTAGGAAATCCCAGGAAAAGGAACGAACTGTATCCAGGAAACTTAGAGAGACTGACAACGAGTTACTGAGGACTAAAGATGCCTTGCAGGCACTACAGAGACTTTCTGAAGACAAAAATCTTGCAGAAAGGGAAGAACTTACTCAAAGATTATCTGTTCTTACGACAAAAATGGAGGCAAATGACAACAAAATACAGGTCTGTATTGCAGAGGTCTAGACATTTCAAGGTTCCAAAATGAATAGAGAGAGAGTACATCGTAGTCCTGTTTGCCCCCGTAACAAAGCGATCCACCGCCTTGCTTGGCGTGCCGCCCTACGTGATTGCAGCGTCTGATGGAGGGCAGGAGGAAGGGAAAGGTCTGAGGGAAAAGGAACAGCTCAGAACTGGCAATGCTCATCCTGTGGAAGTGAGCGAGACTTCGTTCTTGCTCACTTCATTCATAACTAGCTAGGCTAATTATCTAGAAACGACCATTCTCTAAGACAGCACGGCTGCCAGTGTTGGGAGTTTTTTTCATTGCTGAAAAGGTTGCCTTGTGTTGTGCAAAACCTCTCTTTGAAATCACCCTTCTCCTTTAAACTGCCTATTAAAAGGCCACTTCCCTAAAAACCTACACAGGGTACCCATTCAGTCCCTTTTCTTGTATTCTCCCTCATCAGTTTCTCCAGTCATTACCACACAGACATTTTTAGTTATTTTAGAAATAGGAATTTTTCCCAGATAATCCTGCAGGGAGTAGGCAAGGAAAGGGAATTAAATAATGGAAGAGACGAATGGATTGATTTTCCTCAACGGCACATGGTTGTCAAAAGCCTGGAGATTACATTGTGAGGGATGATTTGAGCGGAGGCACCGATAACACACTGAGAATTCTCCTGCCCGTTTTACATTAGATAGTCTGGGCCTCTATGGACATGAACATAAGTGAATTAATTTACTGTTTAGTTCTTTAATACGTGGTGAGACACAAGTATTTTCTATGAGCTTGAATTAAGTAAATATGAGGTTCATTTCATGCATGTTTTATCTCAGTTATTCTATTGGCAAATTCTCTATTTTCAAAGAGAATTTTCTCACAAAAAAATGGATATGTGAGCTACAGAAAATAATGAGTAACCTCATTTTTCACTCTTGTATACCAAAGTTATATTATTTGGCCTTTTAGGTAATATTACCTTTATTTCAGCATATGTCTGTATGTAAATATACTTTTATCTCATCTACATAATTTTATATATAAGTATTTAAGTAGTTCATGTCTTTATATCTGTAGAAAAGAAAAACAAATTGAAGAACTAATTAACTATTTTCTTGGCTATCAGAAGCACTTACCAAGAATGGGAAATTTCTGTTTGGTTGTAGGGCGTTTGGTGAGGGAAAACGTTTTGTGGGCCAAAACATGTAGGTCTTTTTTTAACCTAGGTAATATTTTAGGGAGGTAATATTTTAGGGAGTGGGATTTTTAGTGATTATTTCATCCTTTTGGCTTTTTATATTTTCCACTTTTCTTTAATGGGAAAGCATTAATGTTAAAATAGGGAAGACCCTACTTTATGTAAAAAAAAAAAAAAAAATTAACCTCTTGGTAAGCCTTCTGTCAAAGTCCAGGTCAAACGGTTCTCCAGTAAAATAGTTCTCACTCTGGAGAGCAGGTGAGTATGTGTGGACATGGATACTGAGTTCAATCAGTCATCCCTGGTCTTGCAGTCCATCAGCACGGATGCACGTGGCGGTGTGAGCCCCCGTCATAACTGTGGTTTCTGTCGTCTGGGAATCACCCTCCGTGATGGTCTGCACTGCTGCTGAGCAGCCCTTTACAGAGGGAGGCTGGAAAGGTTTTTAAAGAGCACCTTACGCAGAGAGGCAGAATAGTTCCTTTGGACAGAGTGCCTAGGTATGCCATTGATTACTGGTTTTCAGGATCTGTTCAGAATTTTTAAATCAAATTCCAGAGTATGTAAAAAAAACATTAGGCTCAAACGTATGGTATTTATTCTCTAGATCTGGGATCTGGGATTTGGGGGCTTGCTTTTCTTTCGGTTATGCTTAGTGCTAATATATGTCCCTATATAAGCCGTTCACTAAAATTGTATTGAAAATTTGCACTTCTCATAAATGTTTTTGGTTCCATTGTAATTGAAGTTTTAATAATATCAAATTGGTTACAGAATAGTTGAAATATATACTATTTTCAGAGCTTGGAAAAACAACTGAGGTTGAACAGTAGAGCCTTTAGTAGGCAGTTGGCTGTTGAAAATCGGAAGATTTTAGGAGCTCAAACAGCTACCAAGACTCTGCAAGTGGAAGTAAAACGCCTCCAACAAAAACTTAAGGTATTTCTTTTAAAACAAAATGTAAGAATGAAATTCTGTTTCCCAAAATATAAGAGTTACTTATGCCTATTACATCTTTAAATTATTTACCTTTGTGAATATCCTTCTCAAATTAAGTTTGTTCCCTACAATCGTATGAACAGATAAAGGATCTGCCGTTATTAGAATGAGTTAACGGTTTGGTGAGTATGTACTATAATTAGAAAAATTAAAGCGTGTTCTGTTCATTAACAAGACTTCTTGTTACTTTTATTTTATCACATGAAGTAATATTTCATTTTGTTTACATTTTAACTCAAAGTTAGTGTTTAAATTTAAAAATTAACTTTATTTATATTTAGGGTAAATTTTAATGAGCCGTAAATTTATTGTAACATCTCAACTGCAAATATGTTTGAAAAACTGTCTTTTAAAAGTGTGTGCACTGCTTTAAAAATAAGAATTTTTAAACTATTTATCAGACTTTTTGCTATCTTTCTGCCTTCAAGATTGCTAAAATATCCAACAATTTACATAAAACACTTAAGAAATAAACTGTTTCAAGCCTCAACTAATAAATCTTAAGCTTGATTTTTTTAAGACAAGAATCTTTAACTTTCTTATGATAAGTAGGGAATTTAGATTTCCCAGGAGCCTTGAGATCACAGAGGCAGGGGAAGAACACTGGGGAGGGTTGAATGTAAATTTTCCCTTTGTCAGGCAGAGAAAAGACTTCTTTCTGTTCCTTTTTTCTCTGGATTATCAGGAAACTTAAGAAAGATGTTTTCTTCAGAAAGAAGAATATGCCCATTTTCTGGCATATCCAAAAAGAATGTGCCAGAAAATAGGCATGGCTATAGCAACCAGCTTAGTAATCTAACAGAAGAGACATCATCATCCACTGGCCAAGGCAAACATGCACACACATATCAGAGAATTTGAAAATGAATTTTGTGCTTCCTTATGCAGACATATGAATATGAATAGTATATGGCCATTAAAAACCCATTTTTACAGGAGAAATGCTTAATACTTAATGAAATGCTTAACAAAAAGAAAGATACGAAATTCTATGTACAGTAAGATCCAAATTTATTTTAAAAAAGAAAAGTAAATGTACCTCCATAAAATGGATTTCTATGTACCTGTAAAAAAGAATGAGGAACCTTGATATACTACTATGGATTAATCTCCAGGATATGTGGGTAAGTAAAAAAGGCAGGCAGAGGAAAGTGTGCAGTATCCTACTATTTAAGAAAAGGGAAGCAGTACAAATATATCCACATAGTTGCCTACGTTTAAAAAAGAAAAGCAATAATAGGATAACAACCAAGGTAGGGGAAGAGAATAGGGTAGAAGGGTAGTTATAGAACATACATTTCTTGAATACCTTCTCAGTAGATTTGACTTTGGAGCCACGTAAATATTTTGCATAATTATGAAGCAGAATTAAATGTTAAAAAAAAGTTATCCACAAATATCCAAAGCAAAATGAAAGCAATGAACCCAGCTGGGAACAGTGAGCCCTCTATAACTGTCGGTTCTGCATCCTGCGAATACTGTATTTTCAATCTGAGGTTAGTGGTGTTACCGGCGCAGGACTTTGGGCTCTCTATGTAAAAGAAGTTAACAAGAGGACAAACCGGAGTCACTAGCAAGGCTTTATTGGGGCTTATGTTGGAAACCCTCAGGCTGACTCCCCAGGGGGAGTTTGGAGAGAGTTTTAAAGAGGCTTAGGCTGGAAAAGGGTGTCCCGTAAGCATGCAGAGGTGGAGATTTTCTTGTGCCTGCGTAGTTCCATTACATGCTTCATGCGTTGCATTGCGTGTCTCGTCAGCATGTTAAATCTCCCACCCCTGGGCTTGATTTTCAGCATTAAACTGAGATTATAATGAGGGAAAAGTCAGGGTAAGGTCAGTGTAGGGTCCCTCTTGGCTTGCAGTGGTTAGATCTGGGTAGGTCTGGTTTTTGTGTGGCAGGTTCCTTATCAGCTGGTGTTAGCATCTTGTTTTGGTGGTCTTGGAAAACATTGCTCAGGAAACGGACAATTTAGCCCCCTCCTTATATGGGCATGGGCTGAATTCCAGCGGCTAGGAGTCATTTGCTTTTTTGCTCTTCTACAGTTAGTAAGGCTCGGTCTTGCAGCCCCGTGCTGCCTCCCTGGGTCAGAAGTGAGCCAGAGTCCTGTCCCTGTGCTGTCTCAGTTGAATTTGCAGATGTGTAACCCTCGGGTACAGAGAGCCAACTGTATCCTATTGGTGGCATAATGTCACAGAGAGAAACCATTCCAAGTGATTTAAAACACATTAATATCATTGCATATGGCTAGGGAGATATACCGTAAGGACAAAAATCACACACACAAAAAAAACCTTAAAACTGTTTTTAATAATGATATTGGTGGTGATGGTGTTGATACTGTTATTTTGAGACTGTTGTGTATATCCCATGGGATAAAGCACATGATGGACTATATTGGTGTCATAGAGAACTGGGGTTTGGAGGATGGAAGAAAGAAAATATAGAAGTAAAATAAGGTCAAATAAAAAGCTTATCATCCTGGCCAGGCGCAGTGCCTCACGCCTGTAATCCTAGCACTCTGGGAGGCCGAGGCAGGTGGATTGTTTGAGCTCAGGAGTTCAAAACCAGCCTGAGCAAGAGCGAGACCCCATCTCTACTAAAAATAGAAAGAAATTAATCAGACAACTAAAATATATAGAAAAAAAAATTAGCCGGGCATGGTGGCGCATGCCTGTAGTCCCAGCTACTCGGGAGGCTGAGGCAGGAGGATCGCTTGAGCCCAGGAGTTTGAGGTTGCTGTGAGCGAGGATGACACCACGGCACTGTAGCCTGGGCAACAGAGTGAGACTCTGTCTCAAAAAAAAGAAAAAAAAAAAAGAATAACAACCACAAGAGCTGGCCCCGCAGTCTGGCTCAGCATGACTCAGCCATTCACCTCCCGGCCTGACGCCTGCACTCGGGGGATACGCTCCCACTCTCACCTCCCACCAGCCCCGCTGCAGCTGGGAAAACGAGGTTGCCCTTCATGCCTCACCTCCACGGTGTTCCGGGGGGGAGCAATAGAAACTTTAAGGATGTTTTAGAATCCTGACTGTACCAGGTCCTATGCCGCCTAACAAATCGCTCCAAAACTTAAGTGACTTCAGAAATGACATTAATTTTCTTCACGAATCTACCATTTGGGCAGGGCTTGGCTGGGATAGCTCCTCTCTGCTCCCCTTGGCATCAGCTAGAGCGGTCTGAAGGCTGCGGGCTAGAGTCATCTGAGTCTCACTCTTACTCTGCAGTTGGCACCAGCTGACAATTGAGGTCTTAGCTGGGTTGTTGGTTGGAACCCTACACACGGCCTCTCAGTGTGGTGTGGTCTTCCTCCTAACTTGCTGGCTGGGTTCCAAGTGGAAAAAGAGAGAGAGAGAGAGAGAGAGAGACTCTGAGGGAGAAAGAGAGAGACAGAGAACAGGCGAGCCGGGCAGAAGCAATATTGCCTCTCGTGACCCGGCCTTGGGAGTCACACAGCATCGCTTCCGCGCACTCCATGTGTCAAGGCAGTCGAAGGCAGTGCAGTTAGTAAACTTCACCTCTTGATGGTGAGCCACAAGGGTCTGGAACAACATATGGGATCATAAATACTGTAGTGGCGATTTTAGGAAAATATAATCTGCCACGTTAACGTAAGTCATTATTGCTTGAGCTTGGGAGGGTCTGGTTCCAAAGATACAAATTTCTATTTCTGTACAACTCCAAGGTCTAGGCCCATTTCTGGAGTATGGGCCGAAGTAAGAGGAGCCTTCCACAGCTCTCAGATGAAGTCCTGCAACCCCAGCCCACATCCAGGCTACAACCTTACTCCTGCCAAGGGGTGGTGTCTGTTAAAACATTGCTTCCTATCTAATTTTTGGAAGCCGTCAATGGTGACCTTAATATGGTTCCACACGGTGACCCAGGTTCCCCTTTAACTCTGACTTGGTACCTTCGAGCTTGTGAATCTCCTGTGAGTATTCTACAAGCACTCCGTGAGCACTGCTGGCCTTGGGTTTGCTTTGCTATTGCTTCTCTTGACTAACTGACTGAACCCAACACACAAGTGTCCTGCCTACACTGTGTTCCAAACCTGCTGCGTTAGACTTTCGGCCCAGCTCTGTCATGGTACCCAGACCTGAACCTCTGTTCCCAGCCTGCGGGAGGACTGTCCTTCACATTGCTCCCTTCAGACCCCAGCCATCCCCGTGCCCACCGCTGATCCGTTCTAGATCTGCCTCCTTCCCGCTCTCTGCTGCTGAACACTGACCCCGGAGTGGGTGCCACCCCGTGCCACAGTGGGAAAGAAAGAAAAAGAGAGATGAACTGTAACATTTTTGCTTCTAGAAACCTAAATTCTAGAAAAGATTAATATTCTCATGTTTTATCCAGGCCAAACCAAAAGATAGAACTGAATCTTCCAGATAATCAAAATTTGCCCCTCTAAACATCAAAATTTTTCTTGTCTTAACCACTGTGGATGAAAAATCATCCTAAAATGTTTTACACAATATCCTTCTTAAACATGATATTCAGAATATACTTGATCAGCTTTTCATGGTAATAAACTGTCAGCATTACTGTTTTTTGACAGTGCCACAATGAGAAAGAAAAAGAGAGATGAATTGTAACATTTTTGCTTCTAGAAACCTAAATTCTAGAAAAGATTACTATTCTCATGTTTTATCAATTTATGTACCTCTGATAATAAATCAATTTGTGATTCAAATGATATAAAACCTACAATGCATAGGCCGGGCATGGTGGCTCACGCCTGTAATCCTAGCACTTTGGGAGGCCCAGGCAGGAGGATCACTGGAGCCCAGGAGTTTGAAGTTGCTATGAGCTATGATGACACCACTGCACTCCAGCCCTGACAACAGAGCAAGACCTTGTTTCAAAAAAAAAAAAAAAAACCCTACCATCTACAGTTCAGATATACAAAAATATGTAATGTTCTTTATTTTCTATAGCTGAACCATACTTCCTTATGAGCCCCATTCCCATCAGTTAGGGGTGCGGATGGAGACGGATGTGGAGGAATGGACGAAAGCTTGTCTCAGTCTCTTGTAATTAAAAACAGACTTGGCTGGGTGTGGCAGCTCATGCCTATAATCTCAGCACTTTGGGAGGCTGAGGATCCCTTGAGGCCAAGAGTTCGAGACCAGCCTGTGCAACATAGTGAGACCCCCCATCTCCACAAAACAATTTTTAAGAATTAGCTGGATGTGATGGTGAGTGCCTGTAGTCCCAGCTACTCAGGAGACTGAGGCAGGAGAATCGCTTGAGCCCAGGAGTTAGAGCCTGCAGTGAGTTATGACTGCACCACTGCACTCCAGCCTGGGCAACAGAGAGAGACCCTGTCTCAAAAAACTAAAAAATAAAAACAGTCTCATGCCAGTTTGTCTCTTAGACTTGTAGGGATTTTCCCCATCCCTGTCTCCCATCTCTCAGTGGAGACGGCATCTAGGCACAACAGAAATGCACATGTCTTCTTGGTGAGGGGAGAAAGAGCCTCTCATCCCTGTTCTGTCCTCTGGCCTTCTCTAGACCTGGTCCTACTGAGGAGTGACTGGTCTTAACTAACCAGGTTCCCAGGACCCTGTCTGGCACGCACTGACTGTGGCTGGTGAAACTCACGGCCTCTTCCCAGCGTGGGCAAATCTTGCTGCTCTTCCCTTGCTGACTGTTGCGGATGCTCTGAGTTGCATCCTCCTTCTGATCCCCGGCTTGCAGCCTGTGCTGCGGGACCACCTGGATCCATAACCTCGAGGACTCCAGAGCAGGTTCCCAGCTCTCCACGCAGTATCCCTCCACGGTCCCACCTGTCGTGAGGGTAAAGGAAGCCCTTTGCCCAGACATTGTATGTGAGCGCTTTCTAACTGACCACTTAGGCAATGTCATGTTACTCTAGCCCCATGGTGAATGTGGGGGCTTTTTAAAGGGGCTTTCAATTTTCCTGGGCCATGTCGAGGCCTCCTGCGCTGAGACTTTTCCAAACCTCAGAGATGTTTCTTACCCCCTAAATATCTCTTGGTCATAGATTTGATCCTAAGGGCACAAGGAGACCAGAAGAGTCTCTCTCTCTATCCCCCTCACCCCACCCTGTGCATCCGTCTGTCTGTCTGTCTGTCTGTCTGTCTGTCACATCCCTGGGTGCCTTCCTCCAGGACTTTCCACCCTTAACTCGTATATGCCCACCTCTGTTGACTATGGTTGTTACTAAAACTCAGTGGTCTTGAGTCCAACAGACATGCCTGTCGATGTATGTGTAAGAAGGCACATTTGGTATTTAATAAAACTCTTTTTTGTTCCTCGACAAGGGAAGCTTTCAAAACTTTGTTTTTCTAAAGCTCAAAAAAGTCAATATTGAGATTTAAAACTGAACAAATGATGCCCTTGTTGTAGGCTTTACCCACCCTGCACTTGTCTATATGCAGCCCTAGCTGACAGAACTTTCTGCGATGGTGGAAGTGGACTATCTGCTCTGTCCAGTACTGTGGTCACTAGTCACATGTAGCTGGTGAGCACTTAAAATATGAGTCATGTGACTGAGGACTAAATTTTATTTCATTTTAATTAATTTAAATCACAACATGTAGCTAGTGGCTACAATGGTGGACCAGGCAGAGGAATAATAAACTTTAAGGCAGGCCCAGGGCACAGAAGGAATACAGTGAAAAAAGCTTATTTATAAGGCTATTCAAAAATATTGTCCCCATAATAATAATGTGTCATACTTTGTTCATAAAAGCTAGTATTATACTTTTTGATGTCCATAATGGTATAAAATGATATGGCCTATTTCTGTTTCTTCTAGAATCTATAGCTTTTATTCAAAAGATACTGAGCTCACTTAAATTGTTTTCTTTTTTTCTGTTTTTTTTTTTGGGGGGGGTGCAGAGACAGAGTCTTGCTCTGTTGCCCGGGCTAGAGTGCCATGGCATCAGCCCAGATCACAGCAACCTCAAACTCCTGGGCTCAAACGATCCTCCTGCCTCAGCCTCCCCAGTAGCTGGGACTACAGGCACACACCACGCCACCTGGCTAATTTTTTCTATTTTTAGTAGAGACGGGTCTCACTCTTGCTCAGGCTGGTCTTGAACTCCCGAGCTCAAGCAATCCTCCCGCCTCGGCCTCCCAGAGTGCTAGGATTACAGGTATGAGCCACCTCGCTCAGCCGCTTACATTGTTTTTTAAAAGAAATCAAGGTTGATAAAAGGAAACATTTTTAGAAAAATTGGTATTGTGGTTCTTTTCAGGAGAAGGATCGTGAACTTGAAATTAAAAACATCTATACTAATCGAATACTTAAAAATTTATATGATAAAGAAGATTATCCAAAAGGTATGTTTTAATTACTTTTGCTCAAAATCGATTTTTAAGTACCTAGATTTTCCTAATTTGTATAGCCAAAATAATGGATATTTTTAAAAAGCATTTTGTTAGACATTGATATGTATTTTGTGATTCTAGAAGAATAATGAAACTGTGATATGGTTGAAATAGCTAGAAAAGAGTAGAAATGCTTTCCTATTTCCATTTTCAGCTTAGTTCTTTATGTCCTTACTCCAGGTGGAACAAGAGGATAACTTTTCAAAGCTTGAAGCAAAATGTCGTCAAAAATGGAACTTTCTAAGTATATCTGTTAGCCAGTATATGGCTTTTTAAAATGAACTTTATTGAGGTGTAGTTTACCTCAATAAAATACACCCATTTTGGCCAGGCGAGGTGGCTCACGCCTGTAATCCTAGCAGTCTGGTATGCCCAGGCAGGAGGATCGCTTGAGCTCAGGAGTTCGAGACCAGCCTGAGCAAGAGCGAGACCCCGTCTCTATTAAAAATAGAAAAATTAGCCGGGCGTTGTTGTGAGTGCCTGTTGTCCCAGCTACTCAGGAGGCTGAGGCAGGAGGATCGCTTGAGCCCAGGAGTTTGAGGTTGCTGTGAGCTAGGCTGACGCCACAGCACTCTACTCAGGGCAATGGAGTGAGACTCTGTCTCAAAAAAAAAAAAAAGCACCCATTTTAAGTGTGCAGTTCAGTGTGTACTGACAACTGCCCACACCCACGTAACTGCCTATGGCAATCGAGACTGAACATGTCCACTTCCCCCAGTTCTCCCGTGCCCCTCCGCAGTCAGTGGTCCCCTACCCTGTCTCAAAGCAACCACTGATTTTCCTTCAGTCCCAATAGCTTAGTTTGCCTTTCTAGAATTTCATATAAATCAATCACAGAGTGTGTACTCTCGCCTCTGGCTTCTTTTGTTCAGCATAGTGTGCGGGGGATTCATCTTTGTGGAGGCTACTATCATTAGTGTGTACCTTTTGTTGGTGAATAGTATTTTTTCCTTCAAGACAGTGTGTACTCATTTTCCCAAGATTGCCCAGGGGCAGATTCTGCTCAGAAGAGGAACAATAGGCACACTCACCTCTGTTTTGACGGGAGAAATAACTACATGTTTTCTTCCAAAGGCAGCAACCTCAAATGTCCGTGCCTTCCTTTGTTTGCTTCCAGCTTTGTAATCCAGAGTAACAGCTACCGGAGAAGATGCTCAGTGACGGGGTTGTTTAAATGATATAATATTTCAAGGAAAGTGAAGTCTAGAGTTAGCGGTCACGTATTTCCGCGTGGACAATCTAACCATGGATAATCAAGAGCTGGGACACGGAATATCTCGGTGGTTGTCCTTGCACAACTGCATGCCTACAGTTTTGAATCCCTTTGGCAAGGGACAGCTTTGTCCTCAAATAGCAACGCTGACTTATCCTCACACCTGCTTGTCCTGTTCTCTAACACTGTGATTCCCACAACCTTTTTGGCCCAAAATAAGACAAAACAAGGGTCATGGCAGGGGAAAAAAGGAATCTAGCAAATATTATACATATATTGAATATTTAGAAAATATCTAATATACTTCGTTTTATTATTACATTACATTCATCAAAGTTATTTATTTTATGTTTAAAGTCAGTTGCTTCCAAATGCAAAATATGTTTCTTACATATAATCTATCTGTTCCATAGTTTCTTCAACAAAATCAGTACAAGCAGACAGAAAAAGTTTGTCATTTACAAGTATGAGACACCAGGAAACCCAAAAATCAGATGATGTTCCATCTTTGACAACTAAGGTACTATAATTTTGAAATCTTGCAGTGTCTAATTAAATATATCTTAACAAAAATAAACTAGGCTATAGTCACTTGTTCTATTAATATACAAAAAATAGTTGTATTCATTAGAATAAAATACAATTCAAAATTATCTAGACTCAAAAAAATGTGTTTTTGCTGCTTTTCTAAATTATAGGGTAAAAAGGCAACAGGAAACATTGGTTATAAAGAAAAATCAACTGAAATAAACCATGAAATTTCTTACTATATCAGTAAACTACTAAAGCAAGAGGATTCTAAGAGAAAACATGAAGGTAATTTTAACAACTTTAAAAAGTCTCCTTTTTTTTTTTTTAAGAGAGGTCTCTATGTCTCCCTGGCTAGAGTGCATTGTCATCATCATAGCTCACTGCAGCCTCAAACTTCTGTGCTCAGGCGATCCTCCAGCCTCCCAAGGAGCTGGGACTACAGGTGCACCACCATGCCCAGCTAATTTTTCTATTTTTTGTAGAGATGGGGTCTCACCCTTGCTCAGGCTGGTCTCGAACTCCTGACCTCAAGCAATCCTCCCATCTCAGCCTCCAAGAGTGTTAGGATTACAGGCATGAGCCACCTCACCCAGCCGAAGTCGCTTTTATTCTTATTTGATTTTTTAAAATTGTGAGTTACTGTATGTGCGTATATAAATGCACACACAAAACATGTATGTGGTTTATGAATTTTAATAAAAGGAACACTTACATGCCCATTCCCCTGCTCAAGAAATGGAGCACAAGTGTGCTTAGAACACCCATGGGTCCTTAGCAATCCTGTCCGCTCACCCTGCCCACCAGAAACCACCGCCATCCTGGGCTTCACACCGTCATCGCCTTGCTTTCCCGCACTGCTCCCCATGCTTGCATGTATCTGTATTGGTCTGCTTGGACTGCCATAACAAAATACCATAGACTGGATGGTTTAAACAACAGACACTTATTTTCTCACAGTTCTAGAGGCTGGAAAGTCCAAAATCAAGGTTCCAGCCATTTGATTTCTGGTGAGGGCTCTCTTCCTGGCTTGCAGATGGCCACCTTCTCACTATGTGGCCTTTCGAGGAGGGCAGAGGAAAAGCGCCAGAGTTCTGGTGTCTCTTCCCATAAGGACACTAATTCCAGCACGAGGGCCCCACTCTGATGACCTCACTTAACCTTAATTACTTTCTTAAAGGCCCCATCTCCAAATACAGCCATCCAAGGCTTCAACAGTTGCAATTTGGTGGGCCGTGGGAAAACATTCAGTCTATAACAGTACCCTTAAACATACATTCAGCTTTGAAAAACTGAGTAGCAAATTCAGATCCAGCTGATAAAGGGCAATATTGTCACCACTGAATGAAGACTTCCAGGAAAAGATAAGCTGAGCAGAGACTCCAGCTTCAGCTCCCCTGAATGTACAAGGGCCCAGTCAGTAGTAGGTGAGGTCATGAATTGTCCTGGGAGACAGAAAAGCCTTCAGATCCACGGCATCTGGCAGGGCTTCTGTGGGCAGGTCCAAGAGAGGTAGGGTGAGAGGGAATGGGCCACCCAGAATGTCCTGTTCTAAGATCACCAAAGCTTACCTTCAGCTCTCTGAAGTAGGTAAAAGCAAAATGCTTCTGTAGGGTGCAAGGAGAGTCCTCAGCTGTCCCAGGCTGCAGGGTATGCTAGAGAGCGTAACACTTACGGTCAGACAGGCCAAGGCCCTGGTTCGCCTGGTATTTGGTATCTGGAGGGCTAACGGAGTTGCGGTGTTAGTCTATCTCTGCGCCTCTGGTGTGGAGTTACCATCCTGGCATCTCCCTTCATCATTTCCTGCAGGTTCCTGTCCCTCCCCTTCTCTACTGGATTTCCTGTTTCCTAAACCAAGTCCTCTTCTTTCTTGGTAAATTCCATCATGTTTTAAAGAGCACAGCCTCCACTAGCTTCTTGTAAATGGGTATATGTAAGGAAAATTTGTATACCTTTCATCTGGAAATGTCATTGTTCAATCCCTACACTTGATTAGTAACTGCCCAGATGGAAAATTCTAGGTTGGAGATAATTTTCCTTTGGAATTTTGAAAACATTGCTCCATTGTTTTCACGTTACATTATCACTAATGGGAAACATGGGTGAAACCCCCAAGGCCGGGTAAGAACAACTTGCAAGGAAAGAACAGTCACTGATGAATGATTCCCAGAGTTCCCGCAGGCCAGAGTGCAGAGCCCTTGTTGAACACATTAGGCATTCAGGAGAGGCCCCAGGAGGGCCACATCTCAGTTGTGGGACCAAATAATGTTTCAGCAATGCAACAGTGTGGTAGAATTCACCTGCAAAACCAATCTGTCTGATCCAGTTTGGTAGAAGCTGACATCAATTGCATTTTCACTGTGGTCACTAGTCTATTTAAGTTTTCCATTTATTTTTCAGTCCATTTTGGTCATTCGTATTATCCTAGAAAGTTTATTCATCCGACAAATACTTTTTGAGCATACCCATGTCAGGCACGGTTCTGGGCACTATGGAGATGGCAGTGAACAAATGCAAAATATCCTGCCCTCATGTGCTTATATTCTAGGGTGGGAACATCGCTCCCTGTCAGTTCATGCTTATCCACCTCATTCTTTATAATTAATAACTGCCTAGAATTCCATGTTTGACAGATATTTAGGATGTTTCATTGTTACTAAATCATGCTGTAGTAAACATCCTCCTTACGCTTATCTTTGTCTATTTTGGTAGGTTCATTCCAAGAAGTGAAGGTGTTGGGTCTAAGAGTATGTTCACTTAAAATTTTTTGGTTGCCATCCAAAAAAGCTCTGCAAGTACACACTCACCAACGAGTATCGAAAATTCCCATTTCCCCGTGTTCTCACCAACTCTAGAAATTATTTGCCAATTACATGGGTGAAAATGTTTGTATTATTTTAAATGGCACTACATCCAGCTAGTGATGTTAAACATCTATTAATAACCTTATCGGCAAATTTCATTTTTCTTCTGTGAATATCATTTTTCTTTTGATTTCATAATTCCCATTTATTTGGGATGTTCTGGGAAAGCACAACGTATCAAGCTTGTTACTAGCACTCTTCTCTGTAACCTACAGTTGTATGCATCTATTTTATCTTTTCTGTCATTTC